TGATAATATCGATTTTGTTTTTGCATTTTGCTAAAAACTACAAGTATCCCATCTTGGGCCTCAAATAATAATGACCTCTTCACTACTAAAGCTACATTTGAATGCTTCCGCGTAAAAATGCAGTCCGTCCTTACATAGATTACAACGTATTTCACAGTGTAGATCATATGTTATCTACAACATTAAATATCTAACTACATCAAAACTATACATTTAACGACAAAACAGAACATTTATATGGAAATTGTCAATTTCAAGCAGTTAACGCGTGGATGAATACATCACAGTGTAAAAATTCCGCGAAATGTCACGTAAAGGTACAAGACAATTCGGACGAGATAGACAAATCTAGCATGGTGTATAACGTTGGATATCTCTGAGGTGCGTGAACAATTTGGGTTGGAACAAGAGATCAAAGTTTAATTACTGTACTATAGCGGTTGAAAGTACATTGGTGTGAGGTACAAATAAAGTTAGACCTCGATATAATGCCCCTCGTTTCATCTCGTAACTCGTTTACCGACAGCATATTTCAATAAAAAAATATCTTTTTAAAAAACCCATTCCATTATACATTGCTCTCATTTTATGGCCAATGCCCTTCATAACGCCGAAATTGATCTGGACAAATGGTGGCAGTATAACGAGGTTTCACCGTCATTCTGTGAAGCCAGTTTGTGATTGACCGACGTCCTTCCAAGATATCGTGATACCAGAGCAATAGGTCACTAAGCTTAGAATGGACACAAACACAACCACATGTGATGGCGGAAAGGAGGGGTGTCTCTAGGGAGAGGGTCTGCGTCTCACATCGGTCAACGTCACAGCAGCTGACGAGAACTAATTCACTCGGAGATTAGTTTATTTTTTCTATGCATTTAGATAACTCAACCGACTTCATTACAGTATGTGATAAACCGTTTTAGCAACCAATTTATCATAGAAACGGTTAGGGCGTGATATTCATCAACATGGAGTAATGAAGCAAGGGAAATTGGTTTGACTAATCAGTTCGATTACACCTTCTCACAAGGTAATACTAGACACAAGCGTATGGCAAAATGTACACAAGCCATTCTATGTAACGATGTCGCTAAACACTGGAATGAATTTGAATTACATGTGTGAAAACAGTTTAGGATCCTTGCACTCCTTCCAGAATCTGTAACTACGCAGTGGAAACGTTATTTCCGGTATGACTACAGCTTTGATAAATCATTTCTGAAAAAAAACAACGAAGGTTACGGAATTTTCCTGGGGAAAAAAGGAAGAATAAAGATAAAGCAGCATTACGGGTGAAAATTGCTATTGGACAAGACCAATATTCGAATTAGGACCTCCAATCATTATTCAGTCACCCTTACAAACTGAGTTACCTGTATATGTGGCCAGTGGAAGTACGCTGGCTAAGTCCTTCACAAATAAATTAAGGAGAGGTTGCTCTGTTTGTATGCAAAAACTGCATTGGAATTATATAGTGCTTTGCCTGCAGTGGACCACAGTTGGTGATCAAACACACTTTCCTTGATTACATGGAGACATTATGAGGATAGCCACATGTGGTGACGGGATACATCATGGCGGGTACCACATCTAGTGGCGGGAGACATAATGACGGGTGCCATATATCATGACGGGGGACGTCATGACGGATACCACATGTGGTGACAGGAAAACATGACGGGTGCCACATGTGGTGACTGGAACATCATAATGGGTGCCATATGAGGTGGTAGGAGACATTATGACAGATACCACCTGTGGTAATGGGGTACATTATCACGGACACCGTATGCTGCAGGAAACGCTTGTTTTTCCATATCTGTTTCGTTTTGATTTCTCCTCGATGTTTTTTTTTTTTTTTTTATATATATATGCTGTTGTACATTGTGGAGTGCTGCAGGTTTTCAGTTTCACTTTGGAATGTACATATACACAAATGCAACCCAATTTTATACTAGTAAATCTCTATGTAAATATTTAGACACTGTGTTGTGACTACAAAATGTTATTGGTACATTTACACGTACAGAAAACAAAGTGTTTAGATGAGTATGTAAATAAAGCAACCTGTAACTGTATTGATTTACACACAAAATTGAAAAAGAAAATCCCTTTATCACTGTTACGAAATGTATTCTGCTGTCAACTACCGAGTAGACACTTGCGATTTAATTCTATGATCTACCTTTTGTATATTGCCGTTATTGTACGATGGTCAAAGGTTTTGACAACAGAAATACCGTCCACGCTGTCCATTTGTTTAATAAAAAAATAATGGTCTTCGTCGATAACTCAATATACCGATTTGTGTTAAAAATACTTCAATGGATTTGTTTTTAAAAGAATGAAAGATGTTTTTCCCCCACCCATATTTTAATAATACACCCATTCTCTTGCTTATTTTTTTTTAATTCCGCCCTTTCGCTTGACAGTCCCCTTAACGCTAAAATGTATAAAAAAACAACAATAGATTGATAAGTTTGATAACTGTTTACACTACAAACGAAATACATATCAATACTATCAGCATAGAAAAATCACACAATTTCAAACGAACTTAGATCAATTATATATAGGTTTCGATAAGTAGGGGTTAACACGGACAGCGTGCTACGGTAATGTCAAGGTCGTTTGTAGTCTGGCCCATGACTGGAATACAAGATCGGTTATAGATCTAAAGGACACTGCATAATACATTGACTTCATTTCATTGAATAGTTATCTATACAGCTTTATTTGTCCTTTTTTTGTTTGAGGTTCTTTATTTCATCTTATCTTATTATTCATTTCCTTGATTACCTCACTGATTACAAGATTATCATTAGAAATACAAACAAACAAATCTGCCTTCGGATGTCGTATCTCATACGAAGAAAAACTGGTGATTTTTTAGCATTAAGAAAACAATTCGTTGGTTAGTACCGATGCACAGTAACACTCTGGGTTATATTGTATCCACCGCACTCAGCTAATTATATAAAATCCAGGCAGGTGATATCATTCGAGGTTTACTAATTATGGTAAAAGAAGACATTGGGTGTATAATTCCAAGATTACCTTATATGGTGCTCTACGGGGTATACTAAATCACGGAACGGAGAAGTCCTTAAAAAATACATGCTGGTATAGATGTCTCTGATCACGGGATTTCGAGATGCCGGTTGTGATATTCTCCGAGGTAAAATAAAAACACTACGACCCGACGACAATCGAATCAATTGAAGTCCTTTACTATCGTACATTATTGAACAAAGAGATCCGGGAAGGTAAAAGTGCAATTTGTAATGATTTCGCTTTGTTTTTACCGCATCGATATACAGACCATACAAAGTGAGAATAGGGCTATGATCATATTATATAACTGCGAAACATATAGATTTGTAGAGTGATACAGTGCAATTCAACTCATTGAGATTTCTCTGAAAAGCAAATCATGAAAATGGCTTTGTTATATTTATGACAGAAGCGTTAAAAAGAGGAGCTAGTCGTTTTATATGACTGAGTATAGTTGTGTTCACGTGCACTGGACATTGATTCGCTTCGTCTATGTTGATGATGAGTATCTGTTGTCTGTGTTGAAATTAATGTAATAAAGCTAAGCCAAAAACCCCAATAAATACATAGAACGTCCCTACTGTATTGGTTACAGTCCCCCATACCATTTCCAAACAAGAAAGCGGGCGTAAGTCTGCGTCATAAAAACTCCCCGCGATCGAAGCGTATGTAGTAAGCCTGGCTCTAACTCAGAACCCAGTCTAATTATATTGAGCAAATTGTTAACGGCCGTTAATTCTGGGGAATCAATACATAGATTTTCCTTATCTCCGTCTCGCTCGTGTTAGATCAGATTCATTTATAATCAGTTATAACGTTGCTGACCTGTCTTGGTTATTTAACCTACAAAGATTTTTCATTTTGTTTATGTGATATTACCTGTTTGTGATTAATAAGTATGCTCGCAGTCAGTAAATTCTAGGGTAGACGAGACACAAGAACCAAGTTTTCAGACTAGGTAACTAATACTGGATACTGTGAACCATGTATATTTTGCGAGGTAAACATGTTCGCGTTATTTCGCGAAGAAATTGGTGCGCGAATCCATAACCTAACTAACGCACTATACGTTTAGCTATAGGTACGTGTTCTGGCGTGTAATAGTTGGCACGCCATTTCAAAAATGTGTGAATAAACAAGAGGAATTTAGGATGTTTACGGAGTTAGTACTGAGATAACTCCTTTGCTAGGTAATGTACAGGATTGACGTCTGAGTGAGACAGGGAACAATGTGTCCTATCTCAGCCTATTAATATTAACTCGTGCTTAATACGTCTGGCAAGTCCTGCGAACACTTACCCGGATGCTGTATTGACTGGCGACTTCTGTAGGCAACTTTGATAACAAGAGAAATTAACTCTAATTAAAATACCATTTGTATCTAAGCACGGTATATATATATTAATGATATTGAGGAATTAGTTAATGAATAGGATTGTCGTACTTTTATCTGAGCAGACATCTAGGTCACACGTACAGTGGACTTATTGTATGACTGTAGCGAAAATAACATCTCATCAACTGCAATCAATATTAATTTGTGTTTATACGTGTAACAAAGCACTTCCATCTGCGTCCCAACTGTAGATAGAAATCTATTGACTGAAGAGTAATAATTTCCTTGTCAGTAAATTATTTATAAACATTTCAAATTGGTTGCTAATATTCGTTTCAGAGGATTTCCGAATGGTCATTCCATGAGGGAATTCCGAATGGTCAGTCTGTTTCTGACGCGATTATTTCCCATTAGCAAACTGACGTTTTTGCGGACTGGCCGAAGAAACTCTGACTAAAATAAATAATGCATGCTGTAGGTTATTTTGTGTCCAATGAGGCTATTCAGAGACTAATTTTGTTGTAGAATTGGGTCAAGATACTGTTCATCAATCGTTTTTGTATATATGTCATGCAACTTACGGTCCACTTTTTTAATGTATTTTCAGACGGTGAGCTATTGAGATGACTGACCAACTCTGAAAGGACCAAATTTGCACTGAAGAATCATCGACGAGTGGGGCCAAAGTATACGAAGTCACCGCAACTACAATGATTGATTTTTGTGAAATCAAACGGAATTTAACGTGATACATATATTCAATTGTTTCGTTCAAACAACCATGGAGTTGCTGCAATCAAACAACAGTCTTTTGGACACAACAACGGCATTTTTGTGCCATGACAATTCAACCCCGCCATGTCAGTGCAACGACACTTTCACAAATATCACGTGCACAGAAGCAACTTCGACCGTCTGGGCGGGACCACCCTACCCCATGTGGTTGACCATTCTCCTCGGAGCAATGGCCGCGGTGGTTGTCTTGGTAACAGTGCTGGGAAATATTCTTGTGTTAATAGCGTTTGCTGTTGAGCGGAGTATCCGGCAGCCGACGAACTACTTCATCGCGTCGTTAGCTGTGTCCGATCTTTTGATTGGAACGTTTTCCATGCCCTGTTTCACACTCTATCTCTTGTTAGGGTACTGGCCCCTCGGGGATATTATCTGTGATCTGTGGCTGTCCTTGGACTGGACAGTGTGTCTTGCATCACAGTATACCGTATTTTTCATCACTGTGGATAGGTTCTTTTCTGTAAAAATTCCAGCTAAATATCGTAATTGGCGAACGGAGAAAAAAGTGATCATAATGATAGCGTTTACCTGGATTATACCCTGTGCCGTTTTCTTCACATCCATTATAGGCTGGCAGTACTTCGTGGGCGAGAGGACAGTGGACAAGTATGAGTGTGAAGTCCAGTTCATGAGTGACCCCTTGTTTACATTTCTGTTGACCATAGGCTACTACTGGACAACGCTCTTCGTAATGATCGGACTATATACCGGTATATACCGGGTGGCTCTCAGTTTACAGAAGAAGGCCGAAGCTAAACAAAAGAAGATGACAACTGCGATGTCGCACCAATCGCATGATAAAAAAAAGAAGTCGCGCGCTTTGGATGCTGGTGGAGCGTCCCAAAATAGCCGCAAACGAACTGAAAACAACAATGCGCGACACCTGAGAGGTGTGGACACCACTAGTTTTACGAAACCTCCAGAAGAGGACCGGTCAAGTTCCCCTGCATTTGCGTCGGATGAGGACAATAGTAGCAGTCAGGAAGGCGCTTGTGGCTCAAGTAAGACTCCCCTTACGGGCAAACACGAAGATGACGATGATGACGATCAAACTTGTTTCGTCAACAGCGCTGTTCAGACAGACACAACTTATCGCCCTTCCCTCAAAGGCATGCTGGGAGTTTCCTTCGGTCACGTGTCAAAATTAGCCTTCTCTATAACCGCTTCAAGCGTTACTCTGCCAAATGACCACGGAGAGGCGGAGGAGGAATTACACACACCACTTCCGGACGCTTTACCGCCAGCGTATGATACGGTAGTGATTCCGCCGGATAATAATTACGCTAAAAAAGTGAACAACTCAAACTCGATTAATGAGTTAGCTGTTGATGACGTTATAAATGGATGTAAATATATAGACGAAGATAGCCTGAAATCTCTTGCGTCTGCAGAAAACATCAAACTGTTATCGGATCCGGGAACGAACAATGATTCTTCGGCCGACGAAGGATCGTCCCCGATATGGAAACGTAGGGCAGATAGGTACATGCCAATACCAGCTCCTGAAGGTTCCAATAGTACAAATATGGAGGTAATCGAAGAGGACAAAACTATGGATACAGATCTGGATCACATCGCGCCAAACACTTTGCCATCAAATGGCAAGGCCAGTGTTTCTGGCAAACCCCACCGGAAACCGTTAGACTCTGTCCGGTCCAACGATACTTCCGGAAGCTCGGAGCGTAAATTCGGAAGTCCTTTTCATGCATTGGTAAAGTCTATGCGCGAAAAGCAACAAAAGAGACAAAAAGCAGCGAGGCAAAGAGAACAGAAAAAATCAAAATCAGAAAACAGAGCGCGTAAAGCATTCCGGACTATTACCTTCATTTTAGGTGCGTATGTGCTCTGTTGGACTCCGTATCATGTAATGGTGTTCATTATAGGACTGTGTGGCGGTTATGACTGTATAAACATCAAACTCTACCAGTTCACGTACTGGCTGTGTTACTTAAACAGTCCCGTCAACCCCTTCTGTTACGCCTTAGCCAATCAGCAGTTCAAGAGGACATTTCTCCGGATCATGCGCTTTGACTTCCATAGAACGTAACACGTGTTTAATTAATTGGTATTTAGGTATTTATTTATGAAAAGACAAAGTTTTTTTATTGAAAAAAATCAATGTGTACAACCATCAGCTGTGTTGATTGTACAATTCAACTCGATAAGGTAAGACTATGAATGCTGTTTATTTCGGTGTGTTTAGTAAACTCAGAGATCAAATATGCTGATGTACACAATTAACAAAGAAACGACAAATTGATAACATACATATTTATATATACCTACATGCTGATGATGTGCTGTCGAATCTCGTTTATCCGGACTCCGGTTTCCCGAAAATATGTTTTGCTTGACTCTCATGTTGAGCAACCCGATGATTCTACGCAAGAATGAACTTGAAATGATCACGTGCTTTTTATTGCCCTTTTTTGTTTTGTTTATTCGTCAATTCCTAATTTCTTTGATTAGGATAAGATAATCTAGCTATTAACCCTCCGAGGCTTGTACTGAAATTTTGTTTCTGCGTCCTAAATAAGGAAAATCGGTATTACGTTTTATAATTTTTCAGCAAAGAAGAATTCCGGATTAACGAGACTCCGCTGTGATAAGTCATCATGTCAATCGATCTGTGTTATTATGATGTATTTTTAAATTGTTTAAAAAGAAAATGTATGCTGATAAAATGTTATTATATATGCTGTTACAATGTTAAGGATTGTACTTAAAAACGTTCGACCTTCCTCTACTGTTTTTTTTACTCTGCTTAATTACATGTAAGAAACCAAAACAGATAGAGTGCCCTAAATGTATCATTACACATATGAAATTCTTATGCTGTACACAAAGCAAATAAATAAAACAAAGATTTCTGAGTGCACTCTCACTATCTTCAAGACCAGTTCTAAATGAGCACCGAAAGGGGTTTCGTTGCTTTTTAAGAAAGGGTCTTGAAAGTGTTGAAAGCTATAGGTAGCTCTGATCGCATTGATTCGTCTTTCCATATTTACCATCATCAGGACAATTTATATTATAATATTATATATACTAATATTGTTGAGAATTCAACGTGAATCGTAATAGCGTAAAGGAGAAAAAAACAGGTTGAATTAATTTAGTAACGAGTGCACACAGATTTTTGTATGAAAACAATCTTTCAGTGGATTTTTTTTCTTTTGAAGAATTCAAATGTCACACGTAATTAGTGTTCGTGATTAAAATAAGCCAAATTTTCAAATTTTGCTCTATAGACAAAGAATCATTATAAAAACACATGTTTTGAGAATTGGAACATTTAGACTGTTTTAGTTTGAATAGAATGTCAGTTGTGAGATTTTGTCATTGTTAGAATTATTCGAAACAAACTGTTTGAGTATATTCTGAGTGCCATTGATTCCGTTGTAATGGTACTCGTTTACATCTCGTCTGGCCTATCCCGTCCTTGTCAGACACAAGGCGGTTCAACTTACCTTACAGAACGCTATCCACAGGTTTGTACAGTGGAACCTCGTTTATCCGGACACCAAACTAATAAGACCACTTCCATCCCCGAACCTTTTATTCAGAAATGGAAATTAGGCTACATAATGCAGTACACATCGTACTTATGAATTTAGAGGCAATATTTCTTTTTCAAAAAAGCTGACATAGTTTTTGTTGTTGTTGGTTGCACAATGGTTAATCTGAATGATGAAGCAATGCTAGCCTTTCAAATGTGTCGTCGATTCTTATGTACTCTTTCAATTGTGTCATCAAGTCTTGTGTATATTTCAAATACGTCATCAACTCTTGTGAAACTTTCAGTGGCGTCATCAATTCATGGGCATTTTTTCAAGTGTATCATCATTTCCTGTGCACCTTTCAATTTTTCATCGTACATTAGAAAATTCAGTAATTGCCATTCATTTAAACATTTCTTTCGGCGCGGAACTCTTTCAGGAAATATGTTTTGTCCTATTTCGGTACAATGTACTATGTATTCTTAAATAAAGTATTTTTGCTTCTATGTCAGGAATCCTTTTCTCCAAGTTTTGAAGGGAATCAGTTTGTCCAGATGAGCGAGCTTCTACGGTTCATTCAGTGTAGCCGATGAAGGTTTAACAATTGTTTTGTTACATATTTTGTGTTTTATAGGCATCTGTGAGTCTTTCAGGAAAAAAATATTAAAATGTTTAGCATTTATACAATTCCAAATTATGTTTCGTGTTTGTTACTAGAAACATGATTGGTTCATAAGTGTACACGTGATCTGTAGGAGAAAAATCCGGAATATGTTTTAATTGTTCGTTTTGTTTTTAGAGAATACTTTTTCTTTTTTTCTCTTTTTTTTTCAACTTGATGTAATTTGGAATAACACGGATTGAAACTTGACTTTTTTTTTATTAGTAATGTCGTATAAAAGGCTACGATTGCTCTTGTGTTCTAAACGAATTTTTCTCTTTCAAACAACAAGAATTTAGGTTTGAAATATGATATTCAACAAAATTGTTAAAAGAATATTCCTGCTTCAATCTTTATAGTTTTAATTATTCAACCTATAGGGAGAAATAGTTTAGAATATAACCAGTTTTATAAAATTTGATAATCAAAGTGTATCGTAAAAAATAACTAAATTAAGAAAATATTCTATGAGCTAGTGTCCTCTAGAAATTATTGTTTCATATTTTATCAAATACAATCAGACTTTTTTCATCCATGTCTTTGATATACCTAAATTCTTATATTTATCGCTTTTATTTCAGTAAGAAAAGGATAACTTTTATTTGCAAAATATACTTTAAACTACGTATTAAAAATGTACATAAATATAAAAATAACTAACTTCGTTCGTGTTAAAATATATTTTAAAATTATTCCGGTTTTTCTCTTGATTTCCTTATCGTTTTCCCCCTTAAGTTGATGTGCGAAAAAAGATACCAGCTTAATTGATAGAAAAATCTTCATTGCGAGTTATTTATTAGTTTGTCTTTGAATGTAACAGAACAAGAAGGTAGCGTGCATGCTGCCTTGTAAAAGCTGGTGTTCGTGGGATACAATACAAATTATAAGTGTTCGAATCGTGTTGTCGTCTCGCATAACACTACATAGTTCACTTCCATAGTTACTACGTTTTCCAGTACATGTCACTTGAAAACACGAGTCACGTTTTCATTGGTCATGCGGTCGTCGGTCACGTGTAGGTACTTTTATATATGGGAGTAACTAGATGTCATATGTTCGAATGTGTGAAAGTTTGTATTGTGAGGCTGAGATCTAGGTCAAAATTTTTCAATGTCTAGTAAGCTTAATGCAAGTTTGATAAAATTAAAACAAATTTAGACCAAAAACTGTAAGCATAGAAATGGGAATCAAATTAATAATGTTCAACACAAGGGAATGCAAAAAAGCATTAAAACGTTAAAATGCTACCTAAATTCAGCGTCTAAATTAATCGGATCACATTGTATTGGAACGTTAAGGTAATCAGACTTTCAAAATATGGGCCCTGAAAGATGGATACCGGAACTGGGCCCTACAAACTGGATGTAGGAACTTGGTCCCGGAAGATATAAAACGTGGATATATAGAAAATACACGTTTAAGACATATTATGAATGAAACTTACTTACGTCTGACAGTAGACGAGGAAAGGTAGTGATTGTTTGACTTTCGGCGAAGGAGGGTATTGTTCTTTCGTGTGTAGATGGGTTTGGCAGGAGGCGTGGATGAATGTCGTATGAGTGGGTGGGGGGTTCTCATCGACGTACATGTCGGTGACATTTGACAGTAGGCGAAGAAGGAGGATTTCTTTACCGGCGCAGATTGCTTTTGATACTTGAAGTAAGCGAGAAAGGGGCTGATTTTACCGGAGTAAATGGTGATTGATGATTGTAGGCGAAGAAGAGATGAGCTTCCTGTCGTAGATTGCATTTGAAAGTAGGCGAGGGAAAAGTGTAAGTAGGCTAAGAAGGGGTTGATTCTACCGGGGTGGATGGTACATGGTAATTGATTGTTGGCGAGGAAGAAGTTCGCTACAATTAGAAATGTTTATAAGTTTTAAATGAGCGCAATGTGATGAATACGTTTTTGAGTGCTTGATATTGCTGTTATAACATATGTACTTTTTGATAACAAGTGAAATAGACGTGATAAAATATACCGTTTGATAGTAAGTGAAATTGTTATCATTGTTTGTGAATAAGTAAAAAATGTATAACTATGTTACCAACTATTTTTTTATTTTTTTGAGTGATACTGATGTTACAAAAATATATATTATGTTTGTTGGTGAGACTGAGTTTATGATACATGTATCATGATTTCGAGTGAAATGAATATTATGATATATATATGAGTAAATGGGACGGATGCTATAAAATATATAGTAAATGCATCAATGCGTAGATGAGGCGATTTATCTGCATGATATGTGATATAAGATTAATGTGACTGACCTCATAACGAGGCAATTTTAATGTCAAAATTGGATGAAAATATATCTATAACTATATATTAGTTTCGCGCGTATTTTGCAAAGACATCTAGTCACGTACTTGTTGTTTCATTGTACTGCGCATGCCCCCTACCACATATGTCTATTCATCCGCTGAACCTCGGCATCGCCCGTCCGTCTAATGGCAGATTGACCACCGAATGGCTAATCTGCATTCGAACTTTGTTCAAAAATATTTGCACTTTAGAATTAAAGCAAATACCTAGTTCTTTAAAACGAATGACTGGTACTGCAACAAAGAGATTTCGAACTTTCAAACTGAATGATAATCAAAACTGAATACAGTGGACATGCAGAAAAAAAAAATCAGAAACTTCCCGAACGGATCCCACAATATACATGTACAGACCTGGAACACTACCTTGGTGTTATCATTTACTTTTCAGCTAAAATCGAGAGCCGGTATAAAAGTTCGAATACCATTTCTCACACGTTTTCCGTGGTAAAGAAATTTCCCCTGAACATGTTTTTGTTGGGAAGGAAACGGAATAGCGCGAAACTTCTTATCATAATCCGGGACACATTTAAATATTTAAATCAATATTCAACCAGGGATGTAACATTTGGTTACTGGAGAAAATTGACCACTCCTCCACCCCCACATCCTTATCCACGTCATCCTCCCATCACCACGCCTCACCTTCACACCAACACATCCGCACCCATTTTCAAAACACTCGATCCGCCTCAGACTGGTAAACGTATAACCTGCAGAAATCAACAAGCGGAGACTAACAACAGACATTGCAGTCTATGATATTCACACGCATTCTCAATGTGTACGGTAGTAACACCTTCATGTACTTGGCATCAATAATGAGTATCGTTTAGTATACATGCCATTCAAAACAGCAGAAAGGTGGGGAAAAAAACCACGTTATTATTCCTCTAACGTGTTAAGCGAGCAAAACATATTTTCTAATCAGACTAATGGCTTTGTAACGACTGCAGGTCAATAACCACGGTATTATGCACCCTCCCGGGGTTAATATATGTATATTGTTTTGTGTACTGTATATATCGATATATTGCGGTATATACAATGTATCGATATATTACGGTATATTTATATAAATATATTGCGGTTTATACAATGGGTCGATATATTGCGTTGTATACAATGTATCGATATATTCCGGTATCTTTTTTTATAAGTAATAAATCCATTGACCGATGTGCAAAATATATGTAACACTATACTGGACTATATTGTACATTAACAAATCAATTTACCGATGTTAAGGGATAATCGATATATCGGTAATGATTATTTATTTTCAAAATCGTATGGTTGGTGTGCAGAACCAATGTATAACATTATACATATCGCTAATATTACGTAATTAATATGCATGTAAATGTAACAACAAATATCGATACCGATATCGATATGTATCGCAATTATCGATATGTATCGCTTTAGGTATCGAAATGTGTCGATACATGCACTGGCATCGGTTTCATGAACGTTCCATAGCTTCAGTTAAAAAAAAAAATCTGAAGTAAAGACATGCTTTCTTTATTTGGAAATTTTAGTTTATGATAAAACGTATTTGTTAGAATGTTTCGTGAAACCGAAGCCTGGTAGATCAGTGTGTCCATACAGGTTTGTATTGAATGATTGATTTCAATAATTAATTGACTATACATTATCATGAAAAACCATGTCGATCCATTAATTATTTGATTTTTGATGTTATATTTATTATGTACTTTTAAAAGTGACACCTGTCTACGCCGAACATCTGTTCCCACCTGGACACACGTGTACACTAGCTGGGTCTAACTGCACCACTATCATTTGACCAAAACACATCTCGTAAACATGGTGTTCGGTATAGACAGGGTCCACTGTAATGTATAAAAAATTGATACAGATCACGTGATCATGTTGATTGATTGATATTCACTCGATCAAAAAGTCTATGCTAAATCGTCGGTTCAAGAAACGGAAGTGACGTATACTTTAAACAATGGTTGATATTTTGTAGCTGATGACAATCGATCAGTGACCGATCGATGTCGATCGATTGATTGGTGTCCCAATGTTCGATGTTCCACCTGTATAACCCTTTGTGTGTGTATGGAGTATTACAAACTAAATCTGCTTTATGTGTCCGAATTTTAAAACACCCACGATACGTATATATGTGGACCTTGCCAGTGCAATAAATAGACAGGAGTAATCACGGGGTCAAGTGTTATTATTGTGTATGGTCTTTTGTTACATGGTTTTTCATTGTGGTCAGTGATGGGTCTCCCAGTGGTTCAATTCCATTGTATGTTACCTTTGACAACGAGGCCTACGTCTGCTTTATGATGCGTGCCCAAGGATATCCACTCCCGTTATATATGTTTCCGGTGACCAGATGTCAACTTCTAGCTGTTGTATGATGCGTGCGCAATGAGCTCCACCTCCGTCGGACCAGATATCAACTTATGTTGTGTGATGCGTGCCAGAGGAGATCCACTTCCGTTGTACATGTTTCCAGTGGAACGATACCAATTATATTGCATGACGCGTGCGCAAGGAGTTCCCCTTCCGTTTGTGCGGTTTATGTGACCAGATACCAACTTCTGTTGTGAGATGCGTATCAAAGAAATTCCATTTCCGTTGTACAAGTTTCTCTGACGAGAGAAGCACTCCTGTTGCATGATGCGTGAAGCTATAAGGATTTACAAAAATTGTACTTTTTTGCATTTCCCCTGTAACGAGGCACTAACATTTGACGTGTAATCCATGCGCAACAATTTCCACTTCCGTTTTATTTGTTTCCTGTACCAGAAACCCAATCCTGTCATATGGTATATGAGTCCAAATATCGAGTTCCCTTGTTCATGTATTCTGCATGTGACCAGATACCTATGTTTTCGGTTGTAATGAGCTGCACACGGGTATTTATTTCTGTTGTATGTTAAATACACTAGAAATGCACGTTCGTTTCATGTCATTTGGACCCAAATATCATACCGGTATCTGCTGTAAAATATATGTGACCAGAGACCAACTTCTGTTGTCTGTCACATGCGCCGGGACGTCTACACCTACTTCCGTCGTATTTTCGTGCTTTCGAATATAACACATGTTGCTTCTACTTTTTAGGGAACCTGTTCGTTAATTGAGACCCCCTTCCGTTACAACTTCTATTGACATAAATCCACTTTCGGATATTTTGTCTGCGACCTAAACCACAACATCAACAGAAAGAGTTTGCTATAGGTTTACACGGTTTCGTAGGCCACAAAATGTGGCAGGTCCAGAAATTGGACCGAGGGTTTCCAAACTTTCAGTACTTTGATATACTTGTATAAAACTCAAAATTGAGATCCACGAACTTACTGTCGCCCCTTCTGTCTCTCCGTTTGTGATCGTACATGTTCTATATATGAACCTTTTTCTTTTTCTCCCCTGCTGTGTAAATCATTCATTTATTTGTACTAGTGATCACTACCTAGCTCAAGTTCAAGTTCTTTATCACATTGTAGCTTGAGTCTTAGGACCCACCTGTTTCAAAAGAGCTTAATACTGTTTGTCAAACCCGTCACACCTGATTGTCACACCTCCCTGCCGCCCATTCCTGTCAACCATCTTCTGTTATAGAACGCATAGCTATATATGGATCTGCTACTCCCATAGGATATCCGTAAATTAATTTAGCAGTTCTTAAACATTGTATTTCGCTCCTTCCTTTTGTTATTTCCTATATATCTGAAACTGTCTACCGACCGTCACCCCTGTCGGTCACTCTTCCCGTCCTCCGCCGCCGCCGCCGCCGCCGCCCCCGCCCATCCCTCTCTCAATAGGACTTTTCCCCTGCCTGTGGACTTGAACAGAACTAGTGTGCTGGTTACCTTCCACAGTCTGTAGACGTGCCTTAGTCGTTATTTAAATACGAAATACGCTATAATTATAGAGATTGATAGCCAGCAATCTAGGTTTATTTATGTTCACGCTAAACTCAGATAATACATGACTTTGTTTGAAGGATGAATGGAAAACACACACACAGACACACACACAGGTGATCGCACATGTAAACTTTGATAACAGGTAGCCATAGATACAGTATGCCAACAAAATGAATTACACTACATCATTCAGCTGTTTCATCCTTCTCGAACTCATCAGTGATGCCGAGGGGCCAAAATGGTGGAAATCTAAATCGTCTAAATGACCGTACAAACAGACGGACAGGTGCGTAAAGCCCCTAAATTTATAAATTTCATAATTTAGAGGAGTACTGAATAAAATCATGACTTATAAAAATTGTGAAAAACACTCTCATTTAATGTGAGTTTTACGTTATTTAAGTGCTGATAACAAAAAAGGCGCAATGATATGGCCTCTTTACTCTGCTGTAAGTACAATTGTAATTAAACTGAACGCACCGAGAAAACATATATACGTACTTTAACAAGAGGAAAATAAAGCACATATGATTTCATATATTCCCCCCCCCCCGCCCCCCTAAAAAAATTACCCGTTTCCAAACACATTTAATGAAGAAATCAATATTCAAATCACAGCCTCAAAAATAAATATTCGGCAAAAAAATACCACAGACAATCTTGAAATGGGCCGAATCTACACCGTACAGCCGATTGATCAGATAACTGGCCTTCCTTTTAACCTTACGCTGACCATGGGCTATAAATAAACACCCAAGGACCATCTGCTATGTATGCTGGTCACTTAATTGAAAATATCTGAAACTTGAACTGTTTACATATTA